TAATAATGTTTTAGTGATATATATCTTACTAATTAATCCATAGCTGGTGGAAAAGAGGTGGATTCATACCTTTTCCAAGAGTATAACGCGTAGGTGAATATAACGTACCCACCCGGTATTCCCAGGTACTTACCAGGAGTGACGTTACTTAAATTCGGTAATCATACAGGAACCGATGTTTCAACATGATATGGTCGTAAGCCAATTAATAGCGATTTACTAAGCGTACTTGAATTGTGACACAAGGCAGAAAATATTGAGCACCGAGTGAAGATTGAGCTTACAACTCAGTCTTAATTGTATAAGCTAATTAATAAATTAAGATTTATTATATATAGCATGTATGTATATATGTATGTATATATGTATGTATATATGTATGTATGTATACACAGGGTGTCCATAAAGTTCGTCTGCAGTTTAAAAAATTATAGCTTTATTTGGATTTGCGATAGAAATAATCTGTAAAAAATGTTATAAAGTTTAATGTATCTAGTTTGAAGTATAGCTAAAATAACTTATGTGATTTCTGGCATTACTGTAAATCAGTTGGCAAATATTTTCCGTGAACTGCAAAATCGTATTACCCTTTGTATTGCTAATGATGGAGGACATGTGAAAAATTGAATAAAATTCAATAAAACCTTAAAAAATATAGATTTACGTCTTTCTAATCCTTTTTACAAATTATTTCTATCGCAAATACTAATAAAGATATAATTTTTTAAAGTGCACACGAACTTTATGGACACCCTATATGTATGCATTTTTTTATGTATAATATTACCCGAAATAAAAGTGGAGAAACTTATAAATTACGTGTTTCGCCGACGTGTATTGTGTTTCGGCATCTTCTGTTCGGAACGTATTTTCCTTACGAACAATTTAGTCTTTAATTTCAACCGGAAGAAGACTACCCAAACACTCGTCGACGAAATGCGTCATTATTAAGATTTCTACTTTGTCTCATCATATGTATGTATGTATGTATGTATGTATGTATGTATGTATGTATGTGTAAGTTCTTTTTAGGACTCCCTTGCGAGTGAAGGGCTTCTGGTTCTTTTTTGGATATCCTTCTAGGTGAGGGAAACTCTCATATAAAACCTGAAGCTCAATTCGTCTCTGGTAGCCTCAACTTTCTGTTAGGTCACTGGTGTTATGACCAATTGTCCTAAATTGTGGGTTCCACTCAAAATAGTTCAACTTTATGGTCTCTTTGAAAACATACCAAAAATCTTTGTTTAGGTGTGTTGAGTCTTGGGATGGTTTTACTCGGTCACGGTTGACTTTCGCTATGTTGGCAAAAATACAAACTCTATAGTATTCGGTAATACTCACGATGGAAATAATGTATAAATGGGATATTTGCGATGCACCATAGAATTTCCATGGAATTCGTTTAATAAAAATGAATTGTGAGTTATAATGTATCCTGTTTAATACAAATATATTCCTACAGACCTTGTTGATTTAGGGAAGCAATATGGTGGCTGAACTCAAAGGCTTAAGCAAATAAATTCCTCCTCGATGAATATTCAACACAAATGTGACCTTGGTTAGTAAAAATAATGCTCGTAGAAAAGTTCAATATGAAAGCAAAGTAAGACGTGGGGATTAAGCTTTTGTTTCTAATGCAATCTCTATACATAAAGCGGATACGATTAAGACATTACCTGATGTTTGCAGTCGATCTACCGATGGGCAAATCTTCCCTTTGGTTTAATGATTTATGGCCTTGAAGAAAAACTAAATCTTACCCCGGAAAGTTTCATGATTTTCGTAGTCACAAACTTCAATTTTTCGGGAAAAGGAGGTTGAAGTGTTTTCTGTAGCTTCGATTGATTTTTATGGATAATCTTAGATTAATCCGAGACAACCCTGCTGACAAGGCCCCAAATCGTCTTATATGTTGCAAAATTCTGATAACTTCCTATATCTTGTCATTCCAATCTACGGAACTATTCTCCAGTGCCACTGCCTCCTTAAAAGCAAAGAAGATTTCGTAACAGTTAGCGTATTGCAAACTGAAGCTGTTTTGATAAGTAACAACATCGTTATTTTCAAGTTACATTTCCGTTTGTGGCTTTGCAAAATATAGCTTTTAAGAGTCAAACTTTCCCGCATTTTCGGCAGTCAATTTGAAGCAAGAGAATTTTTTATAATGATGTTCACCCTGTACAAAGCGCGTGAGTCACTCGAGATAGAGGGTTAGAGAGTATGTTCCGAAGAAAAAAAAACCGTTTAACCCTAGACATTAACAGATTAAGATTTTAATGATCGGGGAAGCATCCTCTTGGGAGTTGGTTTCACAAAGAAGTGGTTCGTCGGAAGAAGCTGCGTGGGTGGAACTTATACCTCACCAATAGAATACGAAATGTCTGAGGGTGGTTCACTCCAATATGCCTGGCCTGACTGATCTGAGCCGTAAAGGTTAGAATTGATGCAACTGAGGAATATAGTTTGTCTGAAGACTTTCCAAAGGAACAGCGATAGAGGATAGAAAAGCGTACGACAAGAAAGGGGTTGTTGGGTGGAAAACAATCAATCACCCGCAAGGACGCGAAGACGTTTCTGGACTCTATCGAAACTGGAAACTGAAACCTAGGCATCTCTTAATCATATATGGCAGCAGTGCTCCAATTTAGGACTGTTCTGGTTCTTGAAAAGGTAAAGGATAACAGGATGGGTCAGGTACTTACAGTCAACCGACAATGAACATGTACCCGAGTTTCCCGTGAGATATAGGTTTAGTTTAAGTGTCAGTAGATGGTCAAAGTATGCCTCCCCCCCCCACCGAAGCAAGATCCGTTTATCTTGATTAGTAATAGTTCTAATTCTGGTCCCGATCGGTGATAATGTAATGTAACTATTTTCGTTTTCGTGGCATTTAATGTGACCAGCTAGATTCCACCCCACTAGCTCAGATCTTAATTGAATAATATTTTTATTATATATATATATATATATATATATATATATATATATATATATATATATTCATAATAAAAATACGCTGCCAATCATTATCTGTCTATATTTCTGAGATGAGGTATTATGTACACTATTTACATTATTCGGACTATTCACCTCATCTTTGTCGCCATATTTATTACAACGTTTCGACCCTTCATTATTTGTCTATATTTCTGAGATGATGTATTATATACACAATTTACATTATTCGGACTATTGTCCTCATCTTTGTCGCCATATTTATCACAACGTTTCGGTACTTGTACACTCTGGCCTTCTTCAGGTGGTTTGAATGTCGAACTGAACCCTTTATTTCGCTCACTGGGGTAGACTGTTCTAGTTCCACGGGCCATGTCTAATGGATGTCAGTTATCAGTTATCTTCTGTTAATTCCCCTCTCTAAGCTCTCCACCGCCTTAACCAGTTATTGAACTCGCACTATTTGGTTTCTGTTACTGGATCTAGCTAACGCCTTTATACACTGTGCCATGTGTCCTCGGAATTAATTTTTATATATAATAATATTTTTAAAAAATAAAATCTTTTTTCGGCCCTAGTTATTTTCTTTTTAACACCCGATTATTCATATAACCCTTAATGTCATAAGGTTTATATACGACTTCCGTTAACACCGACCCGAGCATTTCGTCTGACTGAAACATGGAAATGCATAAATTCTGGATTAATTTTTCGACTGCTTTAAAATATTAAATTTCTAATTTCGACACAATCAGTCTATAAGAATATTAATTGAATAATACTAACGTAATATTAATTGAATAATACTAACGTAATACTCTTTTTGGATTTTGTTGTGTATAGACAAAATCCGACGATTATTTTAAGACATATTTTAATGTTTATACGTTCTTTTTATAGATAGAAATATTTAAGTAAATACTCTGTTTATAATAAACAGCATTAACGACATTTACCGGCCTGAATGTCTGAGAAATTTTCATAGAAAATATGCATCCTCCGACAGGAATCGAAACTGTATCCTATACAGAACCGTCATATGATCTGACGTGCTTTACCGATTTAGCCACAGAGGAGCGTTTCGGTTAGCAAGGTCGATTTTACTGTTTTTTACGCTCCACATCTCACGGTCCGGATGATCGTCCCGCTATCTATCGACAAACCCAAACTCGCCGATCAGAACAACCAAGCTACCATCGCACGATGACCTTTCACAAGCACCCCGCCCTCTGTCTATGTTGGGGTCCAGGATGGCATTCCAGTCTCCCATCATGACTAAGCGCCATGAATCCACCACGAATGGCCTAAACCGACGGAAAATTCAACACGCTCCCTCTGATCGCTGGGTGCATAAATCGCAACAACCCGAAACAAACCACTGCTCACAGCAATATCGGCCACTATCAATCGCCTCCACCGCGCCGACATGGACAAGGCCCACCCTCACATCCAGAGAACGCTTAACTAACAAGGAAACGCATTTGGCCAGCCGGTACCTGTATGTTGAATAGACAACAAAGTCCCTAAACAGCACACGAGTATCAACATTGCAAACAAAGTGGGTCTCCTGGATCGCAGCTACATCTACACCGAAAAACAAGAGATCACGAAGCAGTCGGGCAGCCTTACCCCGATCTCACAAGCCCCTTGAATTCAGGTCAGCTAGCTTGATAGACATCTTTTAATTTTTTAAAGTAACTTGGAAGTAGTCTTTTTTCTTTCTTTTCTTTTCCATGAGTAGGGTTGCGGAGAGAGAGAGAGCTAGACGGAAAAGAATGAGCCCAGGAAGTGAAGGAAGGGAGTCGCCTTGCCTTATTTTGACTATGTTGTTTCTCACTTCTTTTTCGCCCTATTCCTATAAGACTTTTTCTCCTTTTTTGTAATTTTTAAATCTTCTTCATCGCCCTTTTCCAGTGAAGAGGATCGAAGTGGAAACATTTTATTCATCTCCATGTAAAGGTCCAATGGTGGTAATTCTACCTCGGCCTGCTGTTGTGCAAAATGCTTCTGTTGCTGGAACAGGAGCTTCTGCTTCTTGCCTTCAGTTTGTTGCTCTGGCTGCTGCTGATGCTCCAGATTTCGCTGCTGCTGCTTGGGTAGCTGCTGCTTCTGCTTTTGCTGCTGCTCTTGTCCCAATGTGTTTGTTGATGCTGCTGCTCCTGGTTTTTCTTTTGCTACTTAGTTGGCTGCTGTCTTTGCTTTTGTTGCTGCTGCTTCGACTAGTTTTCAGTTGACTTTGCAGCAACTTTGCTTAGGAAATCCTGCTTGGGAGTAGGATTTGTCGCCTTGGTTCCCTTCCTCACTACCTCAGTCGACTTACCAGGACCACTGCGGGTCATCTTGAGTGTGTTATCCTTGGGTTACCCCTTCTCTGATATTGATGTAGAGTAGAGGAATGAGGCTGTCGTGCCGAATTTTTTCCTAGACACAACTTTGCCATGCGACCTGCAGCACCGCAAAACCAGCAGTAGGGACGGCAGTCCTCCACTAGAATAAAGATCTTCCTTCTGCCACATGTCAGCACATTCGGGATCTCATTGAATCTTTTCTCGGGTCAACGTCACCATTAGATCTACGTCACTGGTAGCTATGCCCGATTTACACCTTACCGTTGAAATCTCCTCGGCCAGTCCAAAGACAGAAAAGAAGGCCCCTAGGTGATGTACATGGACAACCCGTGTAATGTAATCCGGGTCTTCTTGGTGTCCATTTACTGTTTGGAGTCGAAAGCATTTGGTTGTAAGGACGTTACCAGCCAACGCTTGTTCCGTCGTCAGCAGAATGTCCCACTTTTCATGTGATCTGCGTGCTGACACGTTGGCCGCAATGTTTAAGATCTTCAGGACCCCCTTCCATCATCTCACTGTTGACATCGATAAAGCTTCTCGTCTTGACATCCGTTGTCAATAATGAGATGGTTCTATAGTGAGATAAATGTGCTGTACTCATCTCTCAGACCACGGTAGTATTCTTGCCGTTTCTTGAATCTTTCTGCCTCACGAAACAAGGACAAACAGTTGATGAACACGAAAACATGGTACAAAAACAATCTTAAACGTCAAATATACTATCCACCAGACGAGTCGTCAATATCTACGTGCGTTGATTTCTAATTCAGCAAGAAAGTTCCAAGTTAGCGTCCAGCTTGGCAGAAAAAAATGAAATCGGGCCATAAATTAATATAGACCTCCGTTTTCAAGCACGCAAAGCATTCTAATGAGAGATCAGAACCCAGAGAATAAGCTGACCGAAGTAGCATAATAGAACATCCCAGCCTGCTATAAAGAATACCTTCCAACTGGCTCTCTGGTGTGGGAGAGTTTGTCAGAGCAGACTCAACCTGCAATACAGCTGAGTACTGATCTGTTTGTCTGACTAAATCCTACGGAAGGCAATAATTACAGAGATATCTCCATCGCCTATGAGTTAAACCAGATCATCGGAGAAATTATCCGGGTCACAGACACTACGGGACATCAGGCTAACCTCCTGCCCTAATAAATTCCTATCAAAAGTTTTACCCCCGCGAGACACGTCAGACTATTCTCTAATCAGTGTCCAGATTGATTCCAAACCTAAGGCACCCCTTGATGTACCGTTCCATAGAACGATTTTTCGCTATGTGAAGGCAGACTGGGAGAGCATTCTATCCTACATGATGGAAGCTCCGCTCCTAAAGTTCTGCAAGCATACTCCCTCAAAAACCGCTGCCCTTGTAACTGAGTGGATCTTTTCTGGAATGGAGAGTTTTATACCCAAAAGAAATTCTAGCAAGAACCAAACAGTCAACCCTGGTTCATCCCTTAATGTGCCACAGACACAACTCACCGAAACCATTACTTCAATATCTTATCATAAGGAGCGAAGTAGGTCGGCCCTCACTACATTCAGAACTGCAAGCAATCTCGACAAAAAAAACTCTAGAAAACGCCAAATGAAGCGATGGACGAGTGGCCCAGACCAAGATCAAAAAGAAATAAATTGGATCTCGGGAATTCTGGAAGATCACCAACCAAATCATGAACAGAGATAAAACGGCTATGCCCACGATTATAACTAACCCCGAGGTCATATTTTTCTCGACTTATAAGGTGAACCTCTTTTCCATCATCATTGCCTCAAACTCAATGTTAGATGACAAAGACCATCTCCTCACCAAGATCCAACGTCTCACTGAGCACAATCCCGTTAATATTACCGTCACACCACGCGAGGTCTTTAGACTTATCAAAGGCCTTCACCCTAAGAAAGCCAGTGCTCCTGAAAAAGTTCAGGTGGTTGACCTTAAGAACATCAACCCGGAATTACTACCAATCCTAGCAAAGTTATACAACCGCAGCTTGAAGGAGAAATCCTTCCATAACCTGTGAAAACTGTCAAGCGTATGCCGGTTTTCAAGACGCCAGGCGTGCTATCTTCCCCCTCCCAGTACAGACCAATCTGTCTCCTCAGTATAATCAGCAAGCTCTTTGAGGCCATAATCGTCGAGTCGTCGCTCACCTAGAAAAGAACAAACTCTTCATCGACGAGAAGTATGGATTTCAGTCGGTCCGATCCACTGCCGACATCCTAACTACCCACCACTCGCAGAATAGCTCTCAAGTACCGTAGCACTAGATATCTCAAAGAGATTTGATAAGGTGTGGCACAAAGGCTTACTAAACAAGCTGTCCAGTTATGGAAACACTGGAAGGATCTTATCGATTATAAAATCGTTCCTAAGAGAAGGTATCTATAAATGGTTAGAGGTCAACGCAGGCGTCCACCAGGGATCACTTCTCGGACCAACCTTCTTTTTCATCTTCATAAATGATCTGCCTAAGAATATACTCAGATCATTTGTAAGATACGACTGTATACAGGCTCACCTTTAACACCCTTGATGGTTAGAGTTTAGCGATGAACTCTCTTCAGATCCTGCACAGACTATCCATTGGGATAAAAACCAGCAGGTTACATTCAATGCTTCAAAGATCAAGCTAGTTACATTCCATCATCAGCGAACTGACTTGGAACTATCACCAATCTTGATGAAAGTAGGTCCTCTCGGATATCACTCTACATTGAAAGACTTCTGGGCCTCAAACGCACTCGTACATACAATCCATTGGTAAGGATGAAGGTCTAATAGTCGACTCTCAGTACCCGTCCAGTAATTACCTGACTCCTCCTAGTAAGCTTTATATTTACAAGAGCCAGATCAAGCCAGAAATGGAGTACTGTGGTCATATTTGGCCGGGAGCTGCCAAGACCACACTCTCCCACCTTGAGTTTAAAGGCGTTTCCAAATCCTTCTGGGAGACGAACTATTCTCCCCCTGTCAATCTCTGTCACACAGGCGGTATATGGTAAGACTCTCACTACTCTACCGTTACTTTTAAAGAAAGTTCTCGGCCGAACTACATCCCGTGGTCAACAAGAACACAACATGCCACTTACATATTAACAACCCACATTCCCTCCGTATTCCATCGATGAAATGTAAGTTGAACTGTAGCAGTTTCTTCCAGCGAACCACTGCCCTGTGGAACTGACTCTCAACAGGATGTTTAACCGATCACTACAATTTTATCCTGTTCAAGGCTAGGGTTAATCGCTACCTCCTATACGCACAAATGGCCTCCAAACGTAACACTCTATCTCGAGTAGCCCCCAAGTCTTGTAAAAGGTAAACTTCGCTTTAAAAAATAGTGAAAGAACAAATCTATGTAAGTATAATTAAAATTTATTGCTAATGGTTTTACTGCAGAGATGCATTGAAACTCTCGAGACTTGTTCTTGGTCAAGAATTATTGCAAGCATTATTGAAAGAATTTGGTTATTATATGGATCATTTCAAGCGTTCATTGAAATTTATTATACTAATGCATTCAAAATGGTCAGTAACCATTACCAATAATGCATCTATTACTGACAAAATCGTACTCGTTCCTATATAATATGAATTCATTTCTATTGTTTTACTCATTCTGCTTCAGGATACGCGTTCGTCAGTGAAAATTTTGAAGACAATGTCATCAGCAGGTTTATCGAAAGCCAAATGGATGAAACTAGAAAAAGAAAAACATACAATCTTGAGACTAGTCCGAATAAAAAGTAAAGAAACGAGGTAAAAAGGACAATATGACAAAATAATATGACAAAAGCAGGTAAAAGCTGAACATAGCATTCAGACCAAAGGAAATAGAGATGACCTTCAAATGGAATTTGTTATATGTCATTTTCCATAGAATGTCTACACATCTCAGTGCCCTAAAATATTAGACTATCTGCCAGTTATCTTTCATGAGTCTTATTTTACCAAGTTGCGTTGCCTACGTTTAATGTCAAATAATGGATACATATTTGTTATGACCCTTGGCTACATAAAAAGATAACAGAAGCGAAAGGAACGATAAAGTGAAAGAGGCCAGGGAGGGACTGACATGCAAGGTAGCAGAAATCTAAAGACAGTTAAACATACGCGCATTATACATACATGCCTCATGAATGTGTCGATGATACCGCATGTGTACGTACGTAAGTGTATAAGTTTGCAACTATTTGGACTCGTATGTATGGGTATATGTGCTTCGTTTTTGTTTGATGTGTGTGTGGTTCGTTTGTGGAACAATTTTCAATAACAGTTTCAAACCTACACGTCATAATTTCATCCATTTCACTTCGGTTGTTTTTTTTTCACTTTGAAGTATTTTGACGTTCCTTGAGGAAAAGTAACTTTTGTTAGGTGTTTTTTTAATTTTAGATTTTCTTTTGTTTTTCTGATTTCTCAATGTTTATTTTCATTATGGTTTTAAATATTTAGGTTGACAGGGGGTCTGCATATGTAATTTTCCTTAATTTTTCATTAATGGCCTTCGTCCGGCCCGCGACCCGTCATTATAACACGATCCGGGCCCGCGGGGTCGAATGAGTTGCCGACCCCTGCTCTAAATGGTTAGACAGTTATCAAGTAGTTTGCTTACAGTAATATGTTATAAAGTTTGCAGTGATAAATTCTTAGAAGAATGTTGCAAATTGAAAACAGTCAAGGCGTGGTGAAAGTGGTTCTACAGGACGAAGTACAGTAGCAGAATTAAATATATACAAAGTGACTACCTTAAACAAATGTTCAAATAATATCATATTAAAGCGGGCCCATGCAGAGAGAAAAAAAAGGTTAGAAAGGTACGTACCATCGATGCTATTGTCGGCGGCAGATTTAGTAGGTGCTTTATCGTTC